TCGATTTTGATATGTATCAATGTCGTGCTTGAAACTTAGTATACCGAAATTTGACAAGCCAATTATTCACACCGTCCCACTAAGATTGTCTCATCTTTCCATTTTTGTTCATCCAACTAAAATTGTCCTATACCAAATATGGTAAAATTTGTGTAGTTTTGAATCATTCGTACTTTATTCCTACTTTATCAAATCAATATCAACCATACAAACTCAATTTTCTTAATAATCGTGTCACCTCCTCATGTCTTAATGTTAATGGTACAGATGTAGTACTTAATGATATAATGATGCATCATAATTTTATACAATTTGGGATCTGTTAGTATATGTTCTGAATATTCATCTCTGTATTGCTACGAATTTACATCACCTCAACATTCACAATGATGATGGTATGATTCTAAGAGTTCATTATTATTTTCCAGCAACAATGAGTAAAATTCTAAATGTTCACTATAATCTACTTTATTAAGTCAATCAATGACCACCGCCATGGGCGTAGCTAGGGAGGGGACAACCTAGGACCCGACTGACCTCAATTTTCAATTTTGTTTCATTTATCAAGGTAAAAGAATCATGTAAAAAAATTAAAAATATAGTTTGTACAGGCCTACCACAACATACCGTTCTGCCTCCGCCAATGACCACGACCATTCAGGCTGCCAGTGGCAACGACCACCATATATCAATATCACTAGTTTTTGTGTCGCGCGTTGCACGATTGAGTTAGTGCCCGCTGCCCAATACATTCATGAAAAACTGTTTTTATTTAGTACTAAAATGGTAGCAGTGGATTTCCTTTTTATTTAGAATTAAAATGGTAGCGGTTGATTTCATTATATGTATGTATGAAATATGAACATTTATTTATTAATTTTTTGAGATAGGGAACTACTAATATGCATGTCTTGTATAAAAATGGGTTAATTACTTAATTACTTAATTATCATCTTAGTCAAACTCTTAAGTGAGTTCAATCTATATGTGCAGTTATTATGAACATCGGGCAAAATAAATTAAGCCCAACCAGCATAACACATAGAGCACAATCGATTCGAACACAACATAGCAAAGAAAGCAAAAGATAAGATTCAAAAGTTTTTGAGGTCTAGAATTAATTTTGGTGTGGGTAAAGTGAACAAAAACATACCTTACTGTATTTCCATTCTTCGTTAGAACTCTCCGTCCATGTGTTCACTTTCCATTGCAATTAAGGTTGAATAAGAGGCCGTTTGGCAACACTGTTTTTCGGTTTATCAGGCTTATCAACCAACTTTTTTACTAAAAGTGATAAGCAGGAAAAAGTAAGGCTGAAGTTACTTTTTTGACTGTATTGGCTGAAGTTATTGTAGATGACCATTTTAGCTATTTTTACATATAACTTTTTCTTTATTTTATTAATAAAATATATTTTTTAAATAATTTTTCATAAATTAGCAGAGTGAGCCAATGCAGCCACTTCAGCCAGAACTTTATAAATTTCAGCAGAATCAGCCAAATCAGCCGATTTTCGTGCTACCAAACGGGCTCTAAAAATAGCACATGATAAAGGTTACGATAGAATAACTCAGGTGATCCTCAAACGGCTAAATGAAGACAATTAAGAAGATTAATTGTGTAAAGAAGTGGAACGATATACTCCAAGTTCGTAATAGGGGATAAATAACTTTGTTAATGATTCATCATGGGCTTAACGGAGGAATTAACGGCCACCAAAAATATGAAACTTGACGTACATGTGTTTAAGATTAGAGTACAACTATTTTTTGCTTTATGTTACACCAACATTTTTTACATGCCATTTAACCCCCTACCTCTATTGGTGTTTATAAGCTTTTAAGATTAAGATAAGATAAGATGTCTACATCAATTTTTTTTTAAATAGTTTAAAAAATACCCCTCCCACTTTTCTCCCATATTTCCCTCCCCATTTTCTCTCTCTCTTCCCACATTTCTCTCCCCTTTCCTTCCATTAGTTCCATGCTTACACCCGTCCTCACTCACCTCTTCCCTCTTTTTTCTATTTCTTTTTTTTCTCATTTTTTAAATTTCTTTATTATGTAATCACCACAACTCCTTTTCATCTTCTTTTTTTCTATTTCATTATTATTGAAGATTCGCCGGAAAACAAAAATTAGAAAATCACCAAAATGACAACTTTACCATATTTCATCTTACTCACATCTTCAAGTTTTTTTCTACATCGGAAAAATAATCAGGAATGAAAAGTCTCTGAAAAACAAAACTGAAAAAAATGTAAATTTAAACTAGTGTCTATGCACAAACAATATTTGTATGTGCGCGGACATTAGTTATCTGTAAACAAAAAAAAATGAGGGTATAAACGTACATTAGTTGTTTGTGATAGACAAAAAATAATAATTTTTTTTACCCTAGGGGGCGTTAGGGGAGGGGGGTTTGAGGGGCCTGGGGTAAACTGGGATCAATCTCTTTCCATTGAGAATTGAACCCGGGACCTCTCATAAGAAAGAGTGAGTCGGCGACCAGCTGGGCTGGACTGCTTCCCGAGACAAAAAATAATTATACACAGATGATAGTTGTCTATACACAGACATTGATTTCCGTTCAATAAAAATCTGATTAAAATACTATTCACATTGATTTGAGTTTTTCTTTTTGCAGACTTCTGCGTCAATTGCACGCAAATCAATATCCGTGCACATACATTAGTTGTCTGTGCACAGATATCTGTTGTTTGCAATATACAGATGATGTTTGTGCACAGACAACTAATATTTGTACACATGCACTGATTTGATTTTATTTATTTCTAGATTATAAATTTACTTCATTTTCAATTTATATTTTTCTTATAGACAATCTATATCAATGTTTAGGATGACACAAACAATAACTCTGGCGATTATTCCACTTCAATTTTCCGGTGACTCTTCGATGACTCTGAAACTCTGATTATTTTTTTGATCTTGAAAGATAATAAGGGAAGAGATAGAGAAGATAAAAGTATAATGGGATTAATGACAGATGGAGGACGATTATTATATTAAAGATGAAAATGAAAAGTGAGTTGAAGAGAAAAAGAGGAACACATGGTGGAGGAGAAGTGGGACCGTGGGAGGAGAGAAATGTGAAAAGTGTGAGATATAAGAAGTGATGTGGGGAAAATAAAAAAAATGTAAAACTTTAATTTTGATACCGAGTATTATATACTCTCCGTCCCTATAAAAACTCTTTCTTTGATTGAGCATACAAATTAGAGATATTACTCAAAATGGGACTAAAAAAGGTTGAAAATTCCAAAATAGGACTTCCATGTTTTTATTCCCAAAATAGGACTTTTCCTACAAATTAAGATAATTGAATTATATGGTAGAGAGTTGTGCAGAGAAGAAAAAAATATGTAAAAATGATTATGAATCACAAATTCTTTGTTAAAAAGGGAAACATAAGGTAATTTTTGGATAGATAAAAAAGAAAAGTTCAAAGATAATATAGAGAGGGAGGAAACATAATGGAGTACTCTTCCACAGGAAGCGTATATAGTACAGCCGACTGTACGGTGAGAACCGTACAGCCGGTGGCATTTTTGTAATTTACATGAAATTCGCGTCTTGTACTAAATGAGCATTACAACACGTCTAGTGAGCATGATACATATTCTATTGAGCATTAGTAGCATAACAATGAGCATCGTGATCTTTGCTTTATCTCTTCGAATTTACTTTCTTTTCCTTATTTTTTTCTTTATAAAAACTTATTAAATTATATCTATAATCAACTCTTATGAACTTCAGTATGCGAATTTAATGCAATGTGATACTTTTGAAATATGCATTGTTATGACATTTTACAAATGAGCATAACATGAATACCCGTTGAGCATACATAACTTATAAAATGAGAATTGATATGAAAATTATAAGTACTTTTAATTGAACATCAAGACATTTTCATTGAGCATTAACTTGAAATTATAAGCACCAGTGATTTTCATTATGCGATTGTGATGAGCATCGAGTCTGTTCTTTTGAGTATTTGGAGTCTAACAATGAGCACCAGTGATTTCTGATTCATATCTTCTAATTCAATTTCTTTTTTTTCCTTTTTTCATTTATAACAAATTCTTAAATTATGTTTATAATAAATTTCAATTAATTTCAATATGTGAATCTTATGTAGTATGATGTGTTTAAAATGTGAAACATTTTAAATGAGCATAGAGCAGTACCAAATGAGCATACACGACTTACAAAATGAGTATAAAAAAATTCAAAAGCTCACTTGTGTATACTCATTTATTTTGAACGTTATACTCATTTGAGTTTAACATAAAACTCATTCTTAAAGCTCATTTGTACAACCTTTTAAAATGAGCATAAAGTAATTCTAAATGAACATACATAACTTACAAAATGAGCATCGAAAAATTCAAAAGCTCATTTATGTATATGTTCATTCATGTTGGGCGCGTTGGGCGCGACACTCATTTGAGTTTAACAAAAAAACTCATTTCTTATGTGTTCAATATTCAATGTGTATATTCATTCCTTTTAGACATTATACTCATTTGAGTTTAATATTAAACTCATTTCAATACAATATGACAGATCCACAAAAGCTTTGAACTCCTTTCCCTTCTTCTTTCTATAAGCCAGTGCAGAAACAGGGGTGGAAGAATCTGAACTCAGGTCAAAAGTGAAGTCAATCGATCGGAGTATGTGTATGTGGCGGCTTGGTCTGCTTCGCGAGTTGGAGACCTGGACAGTTGATGTTCGTCTTCTTCGATGTCCTTCGTCGTCCTCGCAGATGAGTTGCAGCGCAGATTATTTACAAAAAAAACTCAGTTGTACCATGCGCACTGTACGATTGATTTGGAATAAATTTTTACTTTTTTAAATGTCCAACATGCTCCAATTTTTTTTACTCAAATGCCAAAATTCCAGATAAAATTGGCCGCCAAGAAGAAAAACAAAAAGGAAAAGAGGTCTCCACATTCACAGTTTCACACTGAATATGGAATGGTATTTGATTGAGCGAATTCCACGTCTAATAAATCTCCCGTCAGGTTGACAATCAAGAACTCCTTTTCCTTTCTATAAATATAATAAAAATGATTTTTATATTTATGCTCCGGCCGGGTAGATCCGCTTGAAGGATGGGAGGTTGTGAGTAAACATGGCGTCATCGGCAACAGCTGCTGCTGCTAACCCAATGAATAAGATCGAGAGAGCGCACCAGATGTACAGAGAGGGGAGGTACGAGGAAGCACTGGAGTTCTATACAGAAGCGCTTTCTCTGGCCAAGACTAAATCACAAAAGATCGCCCTCCACAGCAATCGAGCCGCTTGTTTCCTTAAACTTCTCCTTTTCAACAAGGTATTCTGCTCGATTACTACTCAGTATGTATAATATATTCCCTTTGGGGGTGAGTTACTGTTTCCTAGCTTTTAAAAATATAGTATTACCTTATGCAACCCCATTCATTCATTGGATGATGGTTTCTCCTGGAAGAGCTTTTGTACCTATTTGAACCCTGGCGTCCTGGACCTATAAAGCTTGCGCCTTGTGATTTATTTCAAAAGTATATATGTTTGCTTCATTGCCCAGAAGGCCAAACTCCTCCATCACTAAAAGTACATAAAGGAACTTGGTATTGTCTCTTCCTAGTCTACTACTCCCTCCCACAAAGATCAGCTAATTTGAAGTACATGTGGAATAATAATAAAAAATTGTGTCCTTGAAATTCGCATAAACGAGAGAGAAATAGTATTTTTTAAGGAGAGAGAGAAATAGTATGAATCACAAGTTTATCACTTTAAAAGGAATTGACACAAATTTCCCAAAATTATTACTTTAAAAGGAAATGACACATATTTATTACTTTAGAAGGAAATCACAGACCTTTTTGGGACTGCCAAATAAGGAAAGCTGTTAAAACTTTTTTGGGACAAAGGGAGTATGAGAACTGGCACGCAAATACCAACAGAAAAAGCAGATTCTGTTTGCATTATGTCGTGCTTCTTGATATTTGTTCATCACTAAAACTTGTGTGAGATACTGAGATGGTCTCATAGACTTCAATCCGTTAGAAGTTAGAACTGTCACTTTTATCCTAAAAACTGATACTTGAGCTACGGGTTTCAATATAAGGAATCCAAAGTGGTATGTGTTCCACTTCAACAGTTCAACTTAAAGTTTAAGCTATTAGTAAAAATTAACAATCACTTTATATGTAAGAATGTATATTTTATATGCCTCATCTGTGTGGTATGATTTTATTTTTGCAACCTATATATGGTAAAAAAGATTTTGATGTATTGATGAAGGCATTGATGAGTAAGATATTAAGATGTAGAAGTGGAACTAGGATACTTGATACCTTGTTCAAGTATGTGGAAAGAATCAAGTAGGAGTTAAAGATTGTTCTAAGTGTACATGTCTTTATTTTATATTTATCCTCAACATGTCATATCAGAGTTAACTTCCATCATTTGCAATGGAGCCAAAGACTCACCATTTTTTTGGCTTGGGAATATGATGAAATAAAGCAAAATGACATACTAAACTGTCTGCGCTTCTTTGTTTTTTGTTATGAAGTAGCAGTCAGTCCATGCAATTTTCGGCACGATTTTCATTATGAGTCATCCTAAAACAGTTTCTCTATGCTTCAGTACTATGTTGCACGGAAACGTGAAAATCACGAGGAAACGGGAAACGAAAACGTCAACTTTGGCTCAAAAAGGCTTGTTTTGAGAGTTTTGGTAGAGCTTCCGTAGAGTTTCGGAAACGGAAACGTACTCTTACTCGAGAGCTTCCATGCTACATAGCTTTAGTACAGGGGTAAGACTGCGTACATCCGACCCCCCTTACCCCACCGAAGGTGTGGGAGCTTTTGTGGCACTGGGGTAATGATGATGATGTCATATCAGATTTAGATTAGAGTAATGCATAAGATGAATTGTGACTATTCAATATTTCACTTGCATTTTCACCCAAAAGTGTTGCACACGGACAAGATGTGTTGTTATACACAAGCTAACCTTTATACAGTGTGATCAGTTATGCAATATACTAAGTACTATCTTACATGGCATGAGATGCGAATGCTTTTTATGTAACTATGCTGCGGTTAATTAAAAAGAGTTGGGTAATTGCTGCAACTACTAAAGAGTGATACTCAAATAAAACTATTTCTGACTTTGGAACTAAACTTAAATGCCTGAACACTTCTGTTGAATGTTTATAACCCTGGTCGTTTTTTTTCTACCCTAATTGAATTCTGAGAGATTATTCATTTTTTTAGGCAGCAGATGAATGTACCTCAGTTCTTGAGCTTGATCACAAACACACGGGAGCGTTGATGTTACGTGCTCAAACCTTAGTCACTCTCAAGGAATATCACTCAGCACTTTTTGATGTTAACAGGCTCATTGAATTGAATCCATCATCAGAAGTATATCAGAACCTTCATGCTCGCTTAAAGACACAGCTGGTAATCTCTTAGCATTCTTGAACTTTGTTCTATTTCCCCACACTATTAGATGGAAACAACGGTAGAGTGTACTTAATATCCCTCAATGGATGTGCACTAGACCACTACTTACAGAATCAAATATACCATTTTGTAAGAGATTACAAAACCTTAATAAATAGATTGAGGAGGCTCTTCATTTCAAGAGACAAAACAGGGATGCATTTCACATGTTCTTTGTTTTGTGAAGAGTCTCTAGTCTCTACACAGGAGTTTTCACCAAGTTAGTCCAAAGTTATTAGGTGGTCTCAAGTAAGTCAAAGATTTGAGATTTGTTATCCACCTAGATACAGGTGATATGTATCCAAGGCATATAAAAAAGTTCAAGTTATGAGATATGCGCTGGCCCTGGCTGTAAATATTTTTCCGGGTGAACTTTTGTCAAGAACGGTACCGAAGAAGGGCTGTTTATAGTATTGTGCCATACTGCCATATCTGGCAACTACCTTCACGAAAGGACACCACTGTGCTGTTCTTCATCTACCAGTTTACCCTCACATTAAAGCTATTTCCGAAGAGTTTTTCGAGTAACACTTTCCTGATTGTTTTATCAACCCTCCTTTATCCTGGGGAGTCGTTCTGCCCTAAAAAAAGAAAAAACTCGACTATCTCGATTCTTGAGTGGTTATTGACGTAACTTTAGAGTTCTTGTGTCCTATCGGTTATGGGCTCCAGTGCTTCGTCCAACACTTGGGGAATTCTTTCTTTTATGCATAGATTTTAGGCTTTGAGTCAACTACATATGCAAATCCTACCAAACCTAAATTTTATCCTCAAAGTCTAAACATTCGACTCTATTTCTCCATTCTCACTCATGGCAAAGGAGGTTTCTTGATTGAGTTTTTATTCTTTTATCTTAACTCTCAAGGCTTATTATTTTCATTTTAATTCTACCTTAGTTTTGTTTCTTTCTTAAGCAATTTCTAATTGTTTCTTTTTCAACAATTACAGAGTGTTTCTTACTGAATTGTGTTTTTATTGGTGGTTTTCATTATTCTGTATATGTATTTAATTAAAAACAAAAAGCTAGTGTTAATTATTCTGTATATTTAATTAGTGTTTTTATCTCTCTCTAATTAAAAAAAAGTTGTTATATTTCATTCGACTTAAAAATACCAATACAGATGATGTAAATTCTAATTTCTTATTGGTATAGATCATCCTATCTTTTTCTTACACACAAGGTCTGATAAGCAACGCCATATTTTGAATGGAAACTTTTAAGTTTTAATCTTCACTCTTCATTTCGTAATCAATGAATTACATCCACAAGTTTCATTCTTGTAACTATCCTAAATTTGTAATTACAAAAGTGACACCTAAGTTAACGTTACATTAACTTGGAAATGATGGGTGGAGAAGAAGTTCTCATTTAAGAGATTCTATACATGGACATACTAACCTGACCTACATTGGTTAGATCTGCTCCCCCCCCCCCCCAAAACCCCAACATGATTCAGAATTTTCCAACTACCTTGTTCGATTATGAAATGGCCATAGTTGTCATGGTGTATGGAGACAGTAGTCACGCCAAGGCATTTGTCCATAGCGATGGCGCATTTGTGGCATCGCCACATGACGCAAAAAATAAATATTAAATATATGAACTATAGACACCCTAAATAACAAATCTATGATTCAACCACCGTAAGATGAGCAAGAAAGTTGAATACCCACATTCTAACCAAACCATGTGAAGCTAAAATAGTTTAAAGTAGTTCCAAAAAATAACTGAATATCCCAGAAAAGTTCAATGTCTTCCAAAATTTGTCAACTTGTTTGTGTTTGATTATTATGATATAATCATTATCAATTATCACTCATCACCATCATCTGGATCTAGATCTTATAACATTGTAACGTCATCGTCATTCTTTTCACACTATATCAATCTCATCTGTTTCATCTCCGTCTTGCAGTTGATGTGTTGTTGTTTCCCTTTAGTTGTTCCCCACTGCACAGCTTTCTTATTCCGTCTTGATGTTAGTTGAGCAGTTTTTCTTGTTTTACGTTAGCTGGTGTCTACTTAATTCTTATTAGGGGTTTTATTAACATTATAAACTGTTAAGAATCTGTTTAAAAATATGGTGCATGGTGTGGAAATGGCGCCAATATGGCGCTGCCACTTGTAGAGTCATCGTCATGAGGGCTTTTTTGTGGCAATGAGGCTTTGTATCACCATACTGTGCCATTGACAACTATGGATGTGGCATTTGATTTTCAAGCATTTGTGTTTGTATTCAAGTGCGTGCATTTCTTTTGAATTGTTTGGGCTTAATGTTCATGTTCAAGTCTCCATGCTCATACTTTTACATTGTGTTTTGTGTGGTCTGAGATGTCCAACATATGTTAGTATGGTTAAAGAATGATCGTTATGTGTGTGTGTGGTGACTGGTGAAGGATGATTACCATGTGTTTGTGTGTTGCAACTTGCAATCTTGGAGTATTGAAATATATATTACATGGTCCTTTTTTATGAAGAATCTCTACATAAGAGTCCTTACCAAGTTAATTCAAAGGTCTTAGTTAATGTAAGAGTATCTCAAGCGAAATGTGGTTTGTGATCCACTCATCCACCTATATATAGGTGCTATGTATCCAAGAAGGATGTAAGTTCATGCTGTGAAATATCACCAAGTCTCTTGTCATTCAATATATGATGTCAGTATTTTGGCAAACTTTAAATGGCCAAATTTTAAGAACATGTGCAAGGTCATTGAATCATGTAGGTCCTTGATTTGTGTTGCTTGAAACATTGACTCGTGGTAGATGGGTGCTTGTACATTAATTCTGGACAGTTCACACAAAGCCCCAACCTTATTTCAGCAATGATTTTTACTAGAATTATTAAACTTTGATATTGATGTTAAAAGATTATTTTGTGGTAGTGTTCTGCATCATGTGGATTATATTTCCTTTTCTCTATAGCATCGCGTGCCTCTAACGTATAAGAGACCATTTTGCTCTTGTTTAAGGAAGTCGCTTGCTCCAATACCTGAAGCTGAGGCAGAAGAGCTTGAGGAAGAAGATGAAGAGGACGGTGATGATGAAAACAACGCTAAACTAAAAGATGATGGAGGGCATAGTAATAACAATGAATGCAACATGAATGGTGATATTGGAAAAGAAATGGTAGATACTCCCACAGACAAAGTTACCTCTCATTTTGGGAAATCAGTTGAACAACGTGCAGGATGGCAAGCTATCCCACAGCCAAAAGGACACTCACGCCTTGACTACTCTCGATGGGACAGGGTTGAAGAAGAGTCCAGTGAAGATGACGATGATGAAGATGATGATGAATCAGATGAACCTAATCCTCAATATAGGTTTAGAGTTAAAACAGTTGGCGTTCGAGCTGTTAAATGAGAAAATAAAAATGATTCGCATGCTAGTTACCATTATTCATTTTTTTCAATGACCTTTTGCATAATCCATCCATTTAATTAATTATTATAGTAAAAGGTGTAGTTAAAATTCTTTTTTTTTTACCAAACTCTGGTTGGGTCAGGCAAGACTCGGGTTGGCCCCACCTTGTGGCACCATTGCCATATGAGCTATTGAGAAGGCTGGATCAACATCATCTTCTGAAGAAGAGTCATCACCAGCCATGGGAGTCGATGGAAGAAAAAAAATAAAAAAAAGTAAAGAAACTACCGTAGAAGAATTAGGAAGCAGGAATAATCTCTGATACCATGTAGGAGAATTTGAGAATGGGAATTGTATATTGTATTAACATATAAATGGGTATGTATACAAGTACATGAGACAATAACGGTAACCTTATTCTAGGAAAGAAATCAACAATAAATGAAAAGCTATAGAAGGTATAAACTAAAATAAGAGAAATATACTATAATAGAAAATAGCTGTTATATTATCCATACGGGCTTCAGTGTTGCTGGTCTGTGGTCTGTAACTGATGTGAATATGCAACTGGGGCACTGGGCTGCTGAAAGCAGCTTGTGCAGGATCCATTTTTAAAGTAACTGGAAATTTTTGGTAGGATCATTTTAAGTTGCAAATGGTTTGGATATGCCTAGCGTGTATCCTTTGTGATATTGCCAGCCGCATACTTTACTGCAATCTGCCATGAACAGATTGACTAGTGCTTGAAAATGCTCTGAAATTCAATGTACTGTATACACTTCTGTAAATGATGAACATCATTGGTCCCTACCCCTCCAATTACATTGTATTTAATATACTGTTTAGTGTACCCACTATATGTGAACTTCCAAAGATCGTTTGTAATAACTATTGTGTGTAACAAATAATAATGTTATGACGTCATTAGATTGGATGCAACTTATATTAGAAAAACATAAGAGGGCCTATTGACCTATACTATGTAACCATGTTAAAGCATACTGACGCATTAAAGAAGGCTTCACTACCTTCACGTAACACAAGTGTTCCTTGGATAAAGTGAATGGTGAATTAAAGAAGGCTTCACTACCTTCACGTAACATAAGTGTTCCTTGGAAGAAGAAAATGCTGAATTATAGACTAGAAGAGTTGAACAAAAAGAGATGGACAGCAGAACAAGTGGTGCACGGTGCACCACACAGGAACGGTGGAAATGGAAAGGTGAAAATGCATCTTATATGATAATGTCATTTACATCGACCACTCTTTAACCACAAGTAGAGCAAAGCTCTACTCTAAGAACACTAATCACATAATCACAATTAGAGCACTACACTCATACTACACTAATCACATTGTACTTGAAAGCTTACTTGATTTGGCCATTCTTCCTCAATAAAGTTCTAAGATTATAAGTGTTAATCAAGAACGGTTAGCGAGTTTGAACCATATACTGTGTTGGGGTATATCACGTAGGGGGTGATAATCGAGTACTTGGATATCTTAAGGATCGTGTAAGTTCACTTTCCGAATTGATATTTCTCCCCTATGCCTGGGTTACAAGAAATTCAATCTAGGATAATCCTTAAGGACACTCTAGAACTTAGGCACAAGAACTAGAGTCAAACTAGTGAGTATATGGATTGTTATCTTTAAATTGAGTGCCAAAGTGATGAAGATATGTTGGATATGTTTCCTCTTACTCCTCTGTACGAAATATGGTGGTATATATCCATATTCATCGTCCTAGGCAGTAGTAACACGATTAAGAATAACCGCATCAGTTTTTGGGAAACTGCTGGAAACTGCCTAACCGTTCTAGAACTCGGTCTAGAACCACAGAGCTGGTCTACTGAAAGTTATACCTCGAGTTCTACCTCGAGTTCCACTAACGTAGACACTTTGGAACTAAACTAGTTCTTATATACAAGTGTGCACTCCACACCTACTAACTTGTATTAGATCATAGTTCTAATTCCCATTGGCACTCATGTCATTTCCAATTACACAAAATGGCCGGTGACACTAAAATCACCAACAATCCTCCTCCATTTTAGTGTAACCCATGAAATGACATAACAAAGCTTACAAACCAAAACTTGCACATAAATGGAAATGTCGATATGATTGAATTTCCATCTTAGTATTTTACACATTCAAAATATTCGAGAATCGGGGTGTCCTACGGATTGAACCCTTCAACCCATTTGAATACCTCAAGATAAAATACATACAAGTTTCAATACTCAACTAGAATACAAACTTGACACAATTATAAAGCCGTGTGTCCTAATCCCATTCATGACCGTATAAAAGCCAAGTCCCAAGCTTTTTGAAGTGCGGCTACACTTCACGATCATATAGGTAATTCCTTTACTCGTGTACCTGCTTACACTTTATCAAAGGAATTATTAAGAAATAAATTCAGCCTCCCTACTACAGGTCCGAACACACACCTTGGGATGATTTTCATTGTGTGTTCCAATCCATTAAGTGTGAGCTTCCCGCATTGAATTCAGCCTCTAACGTTGTATTAGAGGGGAATTGGGTGTCTCACCATTAAGGATTAAATGGACTTTAAACCCATCCCTATAACAGACTTGTGCACTAAGTCCCGGGCCAAACTTTTGGTCAAGTGGTCCGTCAAGTTATGTTGCGATCTTACAAATTCCACCGAAATTACACCATTCATGATTAGTTCCCTAATCATACTATGTCTAACACCCAAGTGTCTAGACTTGCCATTATAAACATGACTATACGCCTTAGCCAAAGTGGCAGCACTATCACAATGGATAGAAATAGGTGCAATCGGCTTCCCCCACAATGGAATCTCAAAAATTAAATTTCTTAACCACTCCGCCTCTTTACCGGCGGTAGCCAACGCAACAAATTCAGATTCCATTGTTGAACTTGTGATACAAGTTTGCTTCTTGGATGCCCAAGAAATGGCACCTCCCCCAAGCAAGAATACCCAACCACTTGTAGAAGAATGATCCTCTACATTGGATATCCAACTTGCATCCGAATATCCCTCTAAAACCGAAGGATACTCAAAGTAACACAAACCATAATCCATGGTTCCCTTTAAATACTTGAACACTCTCTTCATTGCTTGCCAATGTTGAGTACTAGGATTACTAGTAAACCGGCTCAACCTACCCACGGCAAAAGCAATATCCGACCGAGTGCTTGTCATGGCATACATTAAACTACCAATAGCTTGAGAGTACTCAAGTTGTGATACCGCCTTTCCTTTATTAGGCATCAACTTCACACTAGGATCCATGGGAGTACCAACGGGTGAACAATCACTATAATTAAACCTTTTGAGAATATTCTCAACATAGTGAGCTTGTGTCAAAGCAATCCCTTTGTTTACCCGTTTAATCCTTATACCAAGAATCACATCCGCCTCCCCCATGTCCTTCATGGAAAACCTTGATGATAACAACCTTTTGGTTTCATCAACCTGATTTTGGTCCGTTCCAAAAATCAGCATGTCATCAACATAGAGACATATGATCACACCCGCTCCGAATGCATCAAATCGGCTATAGACACACTTGTCCGATTGGTTTAAACTAAACCATTGGACAAAATAACTTCATCAAACTTTTGATGCCATTATTTGGGTGCTTGTTTCAGCCCATACAATGATTTAACAAGTTTACAAACCTTATGCTCATGTCCCGGCATAACAAAACCTTCCGGTTGTTTCATGTAAACTTCCTCATCAAGATCACCATTTAAAAATGCCGTCTTGACATCCATATGATGTATAATCAGATTGTGTATAGCCGCCAAAGCAATTAACAACCTAATGGTTGTAATTCGAGCAACCGGCGTATACGTGTCAAAATAGTCAATTCCGGGTTTTTGTCTAAAACCTTGAATGACCAACCGAACCTTGAACCTGTCAACAGTTCCATCCACTTTTATCTTCTTTTTGAAAATCCATTTGCAACCTAAGGGTTTAGAACCCGGTGGCAAATCCGACAACACCCAAGTGTTGTTCTCCATAATTGATGACATTTCATCATCAATTGCCTCCTTCCAAAAGGCAACATCTCGGGATTCCATTGCCTCTTTAAAGGTCTTTGGATCATCCTCAACTTGGTAACAATATGAATATTGTACCCCTGTTTCATCCCTTGAACCTTCCACTAAATACAAGTGAAAATCGGGACCAAAGTCTTTCACGATGCGGCCTCGTTTGTTTTTCCTTATTTGTGGTGCTTCGGGATTCAAAACACCATCCAAACATTCTGGAACTTGCACCTCACTAGTGCCTGGAACTAGGTCCTTTGGTCTTTGAATTGATGAAAATCTCATCTCATCAAAGATCACATCTCGAGACTCAATCACGGTGTTAACCGCTACCGCATCGTTAGGTTCTATTACATAAAACCTATAAGCCTTGGAATGTTCAGCATACCCTATGAATATGCAATCAATTCCCCTTTCCCCCAAAGTTTTCCTTTTGGGCTCAGGCAATTTTACAATCGCCCTACAACCCCAAACCCGAAAATATTTCAAATTCGGCGCTTTCTTGTACCAAAGCTCATATGGGGTTGTCTTGTTCCTTTTATTTGGAACCCTATTTAGAACATAGCAGGCCGTGAGCATGGACTCTCCCCAAAACCCTTCACTCAAACTCGAGTAGGAAAGCATGGAATTAACCATTTCCTTTAACACTCGATTTTTCCGTTCGGCCACACCATTTTGTTGTGGTGTATACGGCGCCGTGGTCTCATGAATGATTCCAACAGATTGAAAATAATGGGGATCCATATATTCTCCTCCCCGGTCAGTCCTAAGACATTTAATTGGATTACCCAATTGCAATTCAACCTCGGTTTTATACACTTTAAATTTCTCTAAAGCTTCATCCTTGGTGTGTAATAAATACACATAACAAAACCGAGTCGAATCATCAATAAAAGTAACAACATACTTTTTATTGCCAAGGGAAAGAGTTGAGTGAAAGTCACATAGATCACTATGTACAAGATCCAAAATAGCCGAATTCCTTTCAACATTAGGAAACGGTTGTTTTGTGATCTTAGTAAGCATGCA